CTTGACAGAACCTGGCTAGAGAACCTAGCGAGGGAACATGGCTACAGAACCTGGCTGGAGAACCTGGAGAACCTAGCAAGAGAACATGGACACAGAACCTGGCTGGAGATCTTAACCAGAACTTCGCTGGAGATCCTTATCAGAACTTCGCTGGAGATCCTGAACAGAACCTGGCTGGAGATCCTGGATAGAGATCCTGGCTAGGCTGCTGATCAACTGAACGCTGCCTCTGTGTCCTTCCTTCTTCGCTGACTCCGTCCACACCTTTGGGGACCCCTGGACCTGCTGGGGTTGGACCCCAGCACACCCAGGTCTGGAGTTGTAGGGAGGAGAGGTGTGCCTGGCCCCAGCAGAGGGGGCCTGGCAGTTGCGGGCCATGGGGGCCTCGGGAGCACTGACAGGTCATCGCCTGCATGCTATTGTGGGCGCCCCTGATAGGGATGGTGGGGGAAGAGATCAGGAGTTGTAGGTGTGGGCTGTGGCTACCCCCGAGGCTGGGGTGGCTGCGGTAGGGTGTCTTTGCAGGGGCATTAGAAGAGCTCCCTGTGGCTGCTGCTTCTTCCTTCTTTGCAGTCTGTGATCCTGTCAGGCACTCTCCTCAGGCCCCTGGGAACTTGGCCCCGGCCGTCCTGCTCTTCCATGGCTCCCTGCTGCCCCGCCCCACTCAGCTCCCCCTGGCCACCTGCCTGTCAGGAGGCTGCTGGGGCACCCTGCTGCAGGCAGCATGGTCCTGTGGTAGGTGGTGGGGGTGTGGGGAGCAGCTCCAGTAAAATTTAATAAACCCCGGTTCTGCATCAGGATTTGGCTGCATGACCACAGGGGAGTCTGCCTGAGCAGGACAAAATCGCACCAGGCCCAGAGCCCTGCCCCAGGGACCCACAGCCCACCCACCCTGCTGAATGGTCATGATGTGATGGTGTCCCAGATAATTTGCATATTCCTCTATTATTATATAGGACTAGACGCCTGGTGCATGATATTCGTGCACTCAGGGGGAGAGAGTCCCTCAGCCTGGCCTGCTTCCTTTTGCAGTCTGGGAGCCCTCAGGGGATGTCCGACTGACGGCTCAGGCCTGCTCTAGGGGGTGCGGGGCCTAAGGCGCAGTCGGACATCCTTAGTGCTGCCGCCAGCCGTCAGCCTGGCTTGTGGCTGAGTGGCACTCCCCCTGTGGAAGCATACTGACCATCAGGGGGCAGCTCCTGCATTGAGTGTCTACCCCCTGATGGTCATTCCACCGTTTGGTTGATTTGCATATTACCCTTTTATTATATAGGATAGCACAGCATTTTGTAGGTCAAGCAGTAAACAGGATAAGCTGATGGGAACTCAACCTGGTGGAAGTAGCCAACTGCAAAGAAGAAATCAACATGTAATTGACCTAATTGTGTACATAAGCAATGGCTAAGCCTCTCTTCCAGGAGTCAGAACTTTGGATCTTAATCCCTTGTCTCAAGCCCTTGCTGCAAGTAAATAAAACTACCTTGTGACAACCACGTCTCTTTTATTTTTTTTAATTGATTTCAGAGAGGAAGGGAGAGGGAGACAGAGATAGAAACATCAATGATGAGAGAAAATCATTGATGGGCTGCTTCCTGACACTCCCTACTAGGGATCCAGCCCGCAACACAGGCGTGTGCCCTTCAGTGGAATTGAACCTGGGACCCTTCAGTCCGCAGGCTGACGCTCCATCCACTAAGCCAAACCAAGGGCTCTTTTCTTTTCTTTAAAAAAAATTTATTTATTGTTAATCCTTACCTGAGGATATTTTCCATTGATTTTTAGAGAGAGTGGAAGAGAGGGAAACATTGGTGTGAGAGAAACACATCAATTGGTTGCCTCCTGCAGGGCCTGGGCCAGGAAGAAGCCTGCAACCAGAATCGAACCTGGGACCCTTTTGTCAGCAGGCTGACGCTTGAACCAAACGAGCTAGGGCCCATGTCTCATTTTTGAATAGAGCACCCCAAGTGGCAAACTCCTTGAGTTTGGTAGCAGTGTGGGTCCCTGAAAACATTAATTTCTTTTGCACCCTATGATATGAAGCCTGAGATAGTGCTTTTGTAACAAGTATTTTTTTAAAAGTCAGGTTTATTGAGATATAATTTACATATAGTAAAATTCACCTTCCTTTGGTGTACAGTTCTGAATTTTGACAAATGTATACAGTCATGTAACCACACAGTTGAGATATACAGCATTTTCATCACCCAAAAAAGTTCCTGGCATCCCTTTGTGGTTAATCTGTCAGCGATGGACAAGGGGATCACTGGCAGGAGATAACTTCTGGCCAGAGACAGTCCTCCGTATCCCCTGTTTTTATCTTGCTTGTACAAATAAAGTCAAACAAAAGGCAACAACAAAAAAAAAAAACAGCAAAAACAGGCAAGGAATTATTTGTAGGAAAGCAATACACTCAGGGAGGACCTGAGCAGGCAACTAAGCTGGCCAAAACGGAACCGAGTGTCCTGCCTGGTGGGGTTTGGGATATTTATATCCCTAGACTGGAGTGCCCTTTAGTAAGTCTTTCTTTCCCTTATTTCCCCCCAAAAATATATCTTTAAGTTACAAGACTCCTTCATCTACAATGCCACCAGTTCCAGCCGTGGGCAAACTACGGCCCGCGGGCAGAATCTGGCCCGTTTGAAATGAATAAAACTATTGAAAAAAAAGACCGTACCCTTTTATGTAATGATGTTTACTTTGAATTTATATTAGTTCACACAAACACTCCATCCATGCTTTTGTTCCGGCCCTCCGGTACAGTTTAAGAACCCATTGTGGCCCTCGAGTCAAAAAGTTTGCCTACCCCTGATAGACTCATCCTGGAGAGCTCTGACACTTTCCTGCTCACATAAAGGCCTGCACCTTCATTGTTTTCAGCTTGTCAGATCTGGCACTTACTTCCTCCAAGCCCCACCTGCCTCTCCCAGCTCATCTTTCTATCCGCCTCCTCTAACAAATCCCTACCTCCTAAACCCAAATCCTGGCAATCAGTGATCTGATTCCTTTATCTTTAAAGTTCACCTTTTCCAGAATGCGGCCTTTTATGTCTGGCTTCTTGCACTTAGCATGTTTTTGAAGTTCACCTAAGGTTGTGCATTTAAAAAACTGTATTATGAAAAACTTCAAACTATAACAGTATAGAAAAGCTCCATGCACCTGACACACAATTTCAATAATTACCACCTCATGACCTTATTTCATCTACCCCTTCATCATGCTTTGGCAAGTCTCATACATCCTTTCATCTATAAGCATTTTTATGTGTATCTCTAAAAATTATGGACTTTGTTTTTTCTTGTTAAGCATGATACTATTATCTCGCTTATTTCAGGTAAAACCTTATGGCAATACTACTGCATAAGTGTGCGTACTTCCTATTGCAATGCATTTGGAGGCACACAAGTGCCTAGGGCTCCCGGATTTTGAGCCCGGCAGAGCAGCAGCCTGCAGTTGGGCTCCCACCTCAGAGAGGCCCTCAAGGGGGCGGGGCC